GGAAGGAGTACTATGGAAAGGGATCTGGGGGGTCATAGTGGATCACAAGCTAACTATGAGTCAACAGTGTAACGCTTTTGCAAAAAAAGCGAACATCATTCTGGGATGTATTAGCAGGAGTGTTGAAAGCAAGACATGAGCAGTAATTCTTCTGCTCTACTACACACTGATTAGGCGTCAACTGGAGTATTGTGTCCAGTTCTGGGCGCCACATTTCAGGAAGGATGTGGGCAAATTGGAGAAAGTCCAGAGAAGAGTGACAAAAATGATTAAAGGTCTAGAAAACATGACCTATGAGGAAAGATTGAAAAAATTGGGTTTGTTTAGTCTGGAAAAGAGAAGACTGAGAGGGAACATAACAGTTTTCAAATACGTAAAAGGTTGCTACAAGGAGGAGGGAGAAAAATTGTTTTTCTTAACCTCTGAGGATAGGACAAGAAGCAATGGGCTTAAATTGCAGCAAGGGAGGTTTAGGTTGGACATTAGGCAAAACTTCCTGTCAGGGTGATTAAGCACTGGAATATTTACTAGGGAGGTTGTGGAATCTTCATCATTGGAGATTTTTAAGAGCAGGTTGGACAAACACCTGTCAGGAATGGTCTAGATAATACTTAGTCCTGCCATGAGGTGGGGGCACTGGACTAGATGACCTCACAAGGTCCCTTCCAGTCCTATGATTCTTTGATTCTAAAGTGGCACCAGACCCTGTCAGAACAACAGATGCAAAACCTGCAGACATATCTCCACCACTACAATGATCAATGCAGGGATTTGAAGCAATCAAATTTTTGAATTGCTGTGCTCCAGCTCCGGGCATAAAACCCACTGCTCTGCGCTCCAGCTCCGGGCTCCGCTCCAGAGCCCTGGATCAATGTTCCCACAATACACCTTTCAATGGATCCCTCACATGTCTATCACAACATGTGGTATACCTCGTCCAGTGCATGAAATACCCCAATAACAACTATGTGGGTGAAACCAGACAATCACTACATTCTGAAATGAGCACACAAGAAAATAAGACAAAAAAACCCTATCAACTGTGGGTGACTTTTCACAAAGCAATCACTCTATATCTGATCTATCAGTCCTTATCCTCAAAGCAAAGGAAACCCGCACAACACTTTCAAAAGACAATCCAGGGAGCTTGAATTCATTACTCGGCTAGACATCAAGAATCATAGACTGAACAGTGAGATTGGATTTATGGCTTATTACAACAACCTGTAACCCACTGACTTCTTCCTTTTGTCCTATGACTGCAGAGGAGTTATCAGGCCATTCTACCTTGAATGGTCCCTTAGAATATATGCTAACTACTCATGCTAAACAATCTGTTCAAGTGCAACAGCTAAATGCAAGGTGGGAGTACCTTTCTCAGACCTGAAGAAGAGCTCTATGTGGCTCCAATGCGTGTCTCTTTCATCAATAGAAGTTGGTCCAATAGAAGATAATACCTCACCCATCTTGTCTCTCTAGGACTATTAGTCATAGGTAGCTGCATAAGGGTTAATATCAGAAAAGTTCCATTAAGGTTCTCAAATTTATTTGAGAACTTGTCAGATGTGGTGGAGTCTTTAAAATTCCTTTATAGTTCATCTTTAAAAATAATTAAAAATTCCAAGTCCTTCCCAGAATATGTATTCTAGAGTTCTGGGGGCTTCCCTCTCTCCACACGCTCCAAAAGCTGGAGACAAACTGCTAAAGGGTAAAGAATGCAGTTCTGCTATAGGTAATATCCCGAACTCTGCTCCTGAAAGGTTTAATATTTAAAAAAAAACAAAATTTTCATTTGTATGTTTTTCTTTTTAAAAGATACATTGACACCTCCAATACACCCTCTTTTTAAAGAGAGCACTTTAAAGTGTACCTCAGATTGCCAACACATATTAAAGGTCTTAAAAAACCCCCAGCTAAACAAAAACCCCACCTTCTAGCCCACTGATTTTTTTATTTTTTTGTCTCTTGCTTGAGTGGTCACTTAAGGCAGGGTTTACGATATTCTGTTATTGATCTGGAATCTTGAATAGTGTGTTCACATTACTTTTTAATAAAGCATTTCAGTTAGACATTGACTAATCCAGGATGCTTGGCAGAAATCTATTGGCATCTGATCTCCATAATGTACAGCAGTATGGGCCCTGGAAATGAAGAAATCTTAGTAATGCAAGATTTAAGTAAAGCTTTATTAAATCTCTTCTGAGAACTGGAGGGAGCCTGCTGGATGTTTATGAGAATTCAGTGAGATTGCAGATTAACAAAGTAAGAATTAACGCAGTTTTGCTGGAACAAAAAGAGAACTTTCATAGCTTCTTATCTCCAATTTTTCTTCCCACTCTTAACAAAATGCTTAAAATGTTGCTTGTTAAGAATGGATTAACAAAGCTGAACTTGAACTCTTTGTGAGAGTTATAGGGTAGCAATGAGAATTACAGCATCGGTAATAAGTGGTGAATTTTTTCACTAAGCATTATTATCTTCTCTTGTTTCTAGATGAAGACTGTTAGCGTTGCCTTAGTTTTGTGCCTAAACGTAGGTGTTGATCCTCCTGATGTGGTGAAGACAACTCCCTGTGCACGTCTGGAGTGCTGGATAGGTAAGCTTATTGAATATCTTTGGGAGCAATTTGGAAATGTTGCTTTGTCTCATTAATGTTCAGGTGTATGAGCTCATTGCAACCCCACCAGCATGTTTCTCCTGGGCTAAAGGTAGGTTGAACAAAAGAAAATCTGTGACATCTGATTTGAATATGTCTGTGTAAATAAGTCCTTGCCTACACTACACAATTAGGTCAACGTAAGCTGCCTTGTGGCACCCTAGCTGTGGAAGTATCTTTACTTAAGTCTGGCTCCTGCCGACGTAAGTGCCTTTCTATGCTGATTTAATAACACCACTTCCCCAAGTGGCATAGAGTTATGGTCAATGTAATTAGGTCGACAGTGTCAGTGTAGACACTGTGTTGCTTACGTTGACTGTAAATGGCCTCCTTGAGCCATCCCATAATGCCCCACACTGGCAATTCAATCGATACAAGTGCTTCTGATAAGGATGCACACTACCAACATAAGGAGCCAAGTGTGCACACAATTGCGGTGGCTGGATGCCGATATAAGTTAAGTTGACATAATTTGGTAGTGTAGAGATGGCCATAGGCAGTTATTTCCCCAACAGTAAGTGCTGTGGTATGCACTACTTCCTGGTTTATTCCAAAATGCAACATGTGGAGGTAAAAGATGATTCTGTTAGCTGTTTATTTTTTTTAGGCTTGCAAAGAGCCAGACTGTTACATTTTAAAAATACCATGTCCTACAAAACTCTTTGGCTATTTTGGATTGGGGGTGTGAATTTAGAAGTTAAGGATCCTTCCCAGAAACCGTCCTGCTGACAGCCCTTACTCTTACGAGTGTTTGCTTCATTATTGTGGTGGTGGATACTTGTCCCTGGCCTTTTAATTGAAAATGGGGATTTCCCCCATGTTTTGGGGACAAAAAATTCGTCTGGTACTAATAATGTTGGGATGTGATTATTTTCATGTGCAAGCTGTCTAATAGCTGTGTGTTTTCAGTAAATGAAACCTAAAGTCATGCCATCTAGAACATGCAATCTTGGGGCTTACAGCAGACTGAAGCAAAGTCTCCATTGTACAGAGTTCCTGGTTTTCAAAATTGGCTTTCTCTTGTTCCCACCCTCACTGAAACTGGTATTCAACTTTTCTTACCAAAGATGTTAAAAATGCTGAAGATGTTAAAGTAGTTAAAAAGCACTGAACGTGCACCCACAAATGTATCCAAATGCAACAGATGTATTTGGTAGAATGAGCAGTTTGTAGCATTGATTTCTTGAGTGAAATATGAAATTCACCAAAAACTAAATTGGGTGGGGATAGGACAAAATGAAGAACTATCAGGACTCATCCAAATATGATGATTAGTGATTGATATCAGCAAGAAAATTTAGTACAGTTCTTTTGTTTTAATTTAAAATATATAAAGTGCCTTTAACATTTTTTACATAAATTTAAAATAGTCACATAAAACCTGTACTGCAATGTAGTTTTGATATAACAAAAGCCTGGATTATGGTAACAACTTTTGGATCTGAAAGAATCCTTCATAATATTTCATCCAGATGCAGGTGGAGGGGAAAGAGCCATCCTGGGTAGTGCTGTTATAGGGCCATTTAACAGCAGTTATGGATTGCATTTAGACTCCTATCTTGTGAACTCTAGTAATAGATGGCAGGCACATTCAATCAAAAAGTCAGATGCAGTTCTTATCATGCCTCCTGGACATTTCCCTGAAACTATCAGAATTGCTTTGGTATTTGCTATCTAGCCTTCATTCATAACCTCCTAATTTCAACCAGACATCAAGGAAGTCATAAAGAGCTAGGTGTCGTCGTCATCATCATCAGGTACCTTATCCCGTGCTTCTTCACTAACCCTCCTACAAGCCCAGTGTAAACATTGCACAGGAAGGGAGACGAACTAGAACCCCGGATGAGCAAATGCCACAAACTACCCTCTGGAAATTCTGCTCGAGGACAAACTGAGCCATCCAAGAGGAGCACCACCCACTTGTGATGTGGTCTGCTAGCAAGTCAACACCAGCTGATGATTGATGGTGTCCACATTGTGTTTGAATGTTGTAGTCCATAGTGTTGCTGATACGTTAGAGTTAATACTATTATTTTAAAGCTAAGAGGCTTATTGATAAAATAAGACATTTTAAGGGCTGTACTATAACTGCCAAGGCCCACCGCTTTGAGTGTGCTTGTGAATTGTTCTGTAAGATGATTCTGTGGACTATCCCTTGCTCCTGTGGCAGTTTTATCCAGATACCTTTGGTGCTCAGCTAATAAATTAAAAAACATGGAGTCTAAAGCATGATTAGGTAATTCTTCCTGCAGTCTGTTTCCTTTGCCTTCCTTGAATCTGTCCCATGTATCTCCCTGGAATGAGAGTTGAAGGAAGCATGCAGTTATGAATTCTAGCAAGGTGAGGGATTGGTGTGCATATCTCTGGTAATTTGCCCTCAATGAGTAGAGAAACATGGCTGAACTTGTTTTCTATTTGTCTTTGTGAAAACTAAGGTTAACCATTAGGCTTCTACTCCAGGTAATACACACAGTTTCCATAATGCTTCCTCTCCTTTCTAGAGGAATGACACCTGTCCTTCCTTCTTGATTTGTTTTGTTTTATGGTCAGACATTAAATGCCACAACAGTAATGAAGAAAATGCCATTCTAGAAGATGCATGCCCTGTAGCATGGGAAGAAAAATCTCTGTTTAAAAGTGGTATAAATGAGCCGAATGCTGAACAGGGGGAAATGAATTCTACAGAAATCTCTTTTTATATATACCACCTAATAGAAGTTGTGCATCAAAGCAAGGCAGGAATATGTCGAGAGGTTTGTCAGGGCCTTTGTTTAGAAATGCATTAAGTAGAAAGCTGTGCTTGATGTACATAAAGAAATGTCCATTTTCGTCCATTTATTTAAAATGTCAAAGCACGTGTCTGTAAAAGTCACAAGAAAATGAAAGTGTTTCTGCTTGAGCTCTTTATCCCTCTTCCCTGCCAAAAGTGCTGCAGCCATGGGGACCGCCATGCAAACTGTAAAATTATAATTGCTACAGCCTTTATCAGCTTCAGTTGTTGGTCTTATTTTGTAACTAAATGGAAAGATTACGGCCTCTTCCCTATCTCAGTAAAGAGAAAATGTAATATATTGACTTATTCCTGTATAATAAATCAATAACTGAAATTATAAAGAGGTCCTATTCATCTCTCCACAAATGCCACTCCCTGTGCACATTGCCATCTAATTATCAAATTCTGCCAAGGCTATTGCTATTTTCAAGCTTTGGTATGAGATTTGATAATGTCAGTCCTATTCTTGTCCAGCATAAAGTCCTCTAGAAGGCACCTGTTAGCTCATAGCAGCCTTCAGAATGGGTGAGTAAACTTTTTAAAAAGTTACTTACTGAATGTGCCGTTTCCAACCTCAGGTTATTAACACCTTCATTGGCTGGTTTTATAGAGTGGCACCAAGTTCATTATTTTTGTACAAGGCTCTGAAAGGGCCTCATTAAAAATGCTAGGACGCCGAGGCGTTCCAAAGCCCACAGTACACATTTCTTCACCGAGTGAAACTGAAGTATTGTTCATTAGGCTTTTTATGCATTTTAATAAATTCAGCTCGAACTGTTAAGTAATCCTGTACAATTGCCAGTGTGTTTTGTTTTTTAATCATAGGGGTACTGCAGTAGCACCTTTGTATAGTTAACTTGCTATCAGTATTTCTATGATGAAGTCTGAGGGGCTTTTGAAGATTTATTATTCACCAGTTCCAAAGGGGCTGTGGTTGAAATTTGGCTTAAATGGCAAGAGACCTAGTGCAGTTTTTCTACAATTTGCTTGTTTTCAGAATAGTGGCAAAAATACATTGTTGCAGTTTAAAATAGAGGGTTTTTTTTATCTAGAGACTATATTGGTGACTGTTGGAACTGCAGGTTCATTAGTGCATTAAAGGAGATTTTGCGTTAAAGGACTGATCTTCCCCAAAGAAATAAATGGCTAAACTTTCATTAATTTCTGAATAGGGCCCTATCAAATTCAAGGACCATTTTGGTCAATTGCACGGTCATAGGATTTAAAAAATCATAAATTTCATGATTTCAGCTATTTAAATCTGAAATTTCATGGTTTTGTAATTGTAGGGGTCCTGACCCAAAAAGGAGTTGTGGGGGAGGGGGTCCGCAAGGTTATTGTGGGGGGGGGGCGGGGGTTGCAGTACTGCTACCTTTACTTTTGTGCTGCTGGTGGTGGCGCTACCTTCAGAGCTGAGCAGCTGGAGAGCGGTGGCTGCTGGCCGGGAGCCCAGCTCTGGAGGCAGAGCCGCCACCAGCAGCAGCGCAGAAGTAAGGATGGCCTGGTATGGTGCTGCCTGCAGAGCTGGGCCCTCAGTCAGCAGCAGCCACCACTCTCCGGCCACCCAGGTCTGAAAGCAGCAACACAGAAGTAAGAGTGGCGTGGTATGGTATTGCCCCCCTTACTTCTGCGGGGTGCTGCCTTCAGAGCTGGGCACCCAGCCAACAGCCACCGCTCTGCAGCTGCCCAGCTCTGAAGTCAGCGCAGAAGCAATACCATGACCCCCCTAAAATAATCTTGTGACCCCCTCCCCCCCGCAACTCCTTTTTGGGTCAGAACCCCCAATTTGAGAAATGCTAGTCTTCCCCGTGAAATTTGAATAGTATAGGGTAAAAGCACACGAAACACTAGATTTCATGGTGGGAGACCAGATTTTGACATATTTTTCATTTCCGTGAATTTGGTAGGGCCCTATTTGTGAAGCAAGGCTTGACCTTAGTTTATGTAGATCGCTCTTCTTGGATAAAACTGAATGGGAGAGCCCATGGATTTTCTTCTCTTTGTATCTCTCCTAAAATCTCAGTCCTTGCAAAAACATTAATGATTCACCTCCCAAAATGCTTAAGAAATAAATCTTTCTATGAAGAAAAAAATGGTATATTTAAACTTTAGTGTTGATTTTTGGTATATGCTGCTACCCTGCTGCCCACCTTGGCAACTGTTTGTGTACACTGTTGACATCCTGCCTGCCATTTGACCTTGACATCTTGGCCAAGTACTAGTTGAAGTGGTGACAGAACCTAAATGTGCGTTCCATCTCACCAGCCGGTTAGCTCATTTACGGCTACAGAGCCTTCTGAACAATCAGCCAATCGTTTTTGAACTGTACCCTACTTATTTGGGGATGAAGCCTGACTGCTCTGTCCTTTCAATAACACATCAAGAAGACGTGCTAAAATCCACTTGAGATTCACACTGCTCCGCGGGCTTGCCAGCTACTCATGTGGCTTTAGCGCTGCACCCTTATAGACATCTACCAATGTCCTCATTATTGCATCTGCTGAATACTGTGCAGCAGCTTGGGGCTCCAGTAGTCATTGTGACAAGTTGGACTCAATCAACCCTGCCCTTTGTATCCTTACTTTTGCCACGTGGACAGTTCCAGTCTCCTATCTTCCACTCATGGTTAGTAGTGCTCCCACTGGTGGTTAAATGTGAAGGCAGAGCCCTGGCCACAGTATTGTGTGCAGCCAATTGTTCAAACAGCTTACTTCACAATTTCATCTCAAAGCCATATCAAAAACACTGGCTGAAGTCAGGTGCCGCTTTACTGAAATTGTTGAGCCTCTCAAACGGTATGTTGGACACAGCCTTTCTAAGGAACAATGGCAACAGGTGATATGGGACTATATTTTGGATCTCTGGCGCATTTCTTGGCAGATAGACAACTCAGATTTGCGTCTCCTAGTCTCTCCGGATCAGATTGTGTATGCCCCTCAGAACAATCGTATGAATCAAAAGATCCTTCTTGTTATAACAGGAGATGTTGTGGTCGCAGGTGGTTTAACTTGCATATCTACTGTTGGGGCTTCCTGAGCTCCGGGCTCAAGAACAAACAATGTGCCATCTGGTTATGGACTGCTCTATCATCTTGTTGGTGGAGGGTGCACTTGATGGTTCCAGATGCTGCTGCTGTGATAGGGGCTACATCACTTTCTTAACATCTAGTTCGCTGTTTTTGCTGTTAGAAGCCATATGCCAGAAGAAGCTTTTGGTCTGTTAAGAAAATCTCAATAACCTTAAAAAAAAACCTTAGCTTCTCCCATACTGTATAAAGTGGTGTTATTCTGGTGCTGGAGGTATGCAATGGAGTAGTTATGCAAAAGAAAACATTTAAAAGAAATATGACTTCAATTTTATGAACCTTGCTTTTTTAATCAATAAGATTCTACATTAAACTGGCCAGTACTAGCTTCTAGATTCTTGATACTCACTGTGGCCAATTACACAGCTCTGGGCTTTGAGTAAAGCAGAAAAAGAGCAGCTGAAATTGTTAAGTATGTTGGAACAGTGACTCTCCAGTGTCTAGGGAGATGAACTTTGTGCTCAAAAGTATAAAAAGCTTTAAAAAGGAGTTAATCAAATCTCTGTTGATAAACCAAGTATTTCCAAGCATTAATATAAAATCTAGGTCCTCTCACTGCCATTGTCCCCCTCCACCCCCGGGATTGGTGTATTATTTTATGGTTATCGGCTCGTATTTATATTTAAAAACCTAAAGTTACACCTCACGTTTTTCCTAAGAAGATTTTGACTTCCCACTTTGAGAAAAAATGTTCTTATTGCAAGTTATTGCAGACATTGCTGCTCTTCAATTCTGTATAACAGTAGATAAACCTAGGGTCAATGCCTATGGATACTGCCCTTAGGTAACTATGGTGAAAAGCTTTGTGAATGAATTTGAAACTGATGGTTTTACTTTTAAAATAAATACCTTGAATCCTGAAAGAAGCCTGTTTTAGAATATCATGAAAATATTTTATCACATGCACTAGCTGGGAGGCTGAAAGTGAGGAAAACTTTATTCTCTCTTACAAAGGTTGTGGATCGTTCTTCGGCACAAATAGTGACTACCCAGACCATTATATTTTGTCATCTGAGTTCATTTTGAACTTGACAGAAACCTAGCCTGGAGTAAGTGAAGTTGGGTTATGGAGTCAAATACTCATTGAGGTGGATGATTTTTTTTTTTTTTGCCTTGTGCAAAAGCAGGTAATTTGGTAGTGATCAAAAATACTCATTTATGTTTTCTATTTCTAGATCCTCTGTCAATGGGTCCTCAAAAAGCTCTGGAAACGATTGGTGCAAATTTACAAAAGCAGTATGAAAACTGGCAGCCCAGGGTAAGTGGGTGTATTTGTTCTTGACTTTCCCCAGAGTACCTGTCCCCGTAGACCCGATACTATTATGGGATAAACTGGCTTAGGTTAAAAAGGAAGCTGTGCATCTATTATATAACTGAGTGATCTCGCAGCCTCCATTGCTTGCCTGTCCATTCTCGTGGACAGACTCTTGCAGGCTCTCAAACTCAGTTAGCTTTGTGCTTCATGTCTCTTGGCTAACGCTTTGTTTAACCATGGCAAGGGTAATTGTTCAAACTCTAGATGCTACATTGATATATTATTTTTTTTATTATTAGTGGACTTTTTGGAGAATTTTAGACCTTTTTTGCAAATCATGGTCTCTTTTCTGTGGTGATAATGTTCTTGGTACATTTCTGCAACCTCAGCTAGTTGGAATGTGTAACTATCGGCTCCCACGTAGTATTGCATTTCTTAATGTTTTAGATGGAACAAACTAATAATCTTGTAAGGCCTGTAGCTAATAGATGTTCCTGGTTTTGTTGAGAGAGGTACTTTTAGGGTTCAGTCACTGACTGTTAATTCTGCCTAATGCATTGGTTCTCAACCTGTTTACCATTGTGTGCCGCATATGCAGCTCTCCGTGTTATGTGGGGTGCATCCACACTATATACACATACACATACTAGTGGGCTGCGGCTTGAGAACCACTGGTCTAATGTATGGCAGGCATATATTTTTGAAATGAAAATGTAATGAAGACTTGATCCTAATGCCATAAAGCAGGTGATAAATAGCCAGCAGCTTACAGGTGTCTTTTCATTCCTTACTTTAAAATCACTTTTGAACCTTTGGTAAATTTCTTTGTTTCCTGATATTTCAATGTTCAACATTTTAGGAGCCTCATTAAGGCTCACAGGGATGGAAGTTTATCATTTAATTTTTAAAAAATTAAAAATTTAAAACCTATTGGGTTACCCCCAGCATCATTAATTTCTAGTTTGTCCTGTCCATGTCCTTTTCCACAGGTCTTATCTTAGACTGTGAGCTATTTGGGGGCAAAACCTCTTCCTCCTTGTGTACTCTACAGCATTGAGCACATTGTCACTATTACACAGTATCTTCTCAATATGAAATGCATTTTATGTGACCTGGTTTGATCAGAGGAGAAGCAGCTTTACCAGTTGGGTTTGACTAAAATTTATGTTGTGCTTTTATATCCTATACTGGTGGTTGAAATTGTTTTATTTCCTTATGTTTGTGAACGTATATCCTCCATTTCCATGAAGGGCTATGGGAAAGGCTATTGTTTCATCTTTTCCTTTTAACTCATATTTTCAATATTTTGATCACCATCTTTGAGGTTCATATACCTTGTATGTCAGCAAGGGGACCGCTCTGCTTCACGCCTGCTATGTTGACAATCTCATTGTTTCATGTACAAAATTAATCTACTATTCATCAGTGAATGTTTTAGGAGCATGTCCTGAAATCCGGAAAATTTCTTTGGTATTTTCTTCCACTCAAAGCAGCGACGCTTGCTGAGATAGACTTTGCTTTGGTTTTAGCAATGCCCTCAGGTAGTTTTAATCAGTCATTCTAGTTAAAATCTAATTGGTTATGCGTTGACATGAGGATGTTTCATAATTAATTGTTTCTATATAATTTATAAAATCAATATAGATAATAAATTTTGTTTTTTGTTTGGTCCTTGAGCCATGAGGCACCCAGTCTTGCTGTTTTCATGGCAGGCATCTCTTCCTGAAGACATTTTTGTTCTTTGTAAGGTCTTTGTTCAAGCTGATAGGTATCCATTAAGTATTAATACCTTTATCGAGCATGGCTTTGGGGGTATTCTTCCATTGGAGCAGAAATGTTTCCCTTAGAGTAGAGTTGTTGTAGGAGTCCTATTCCGTCCTGTCCTCTCCTCTATAGGTTCTCATACCACACTCCATCACCCTAGTATGTGAATGCCTTTCAGTAGGGCATTAAGTAATGCAATTAAACATCTATCACGTGGCATGTGTTCTCTCGTTGGGTATGTCTACACTGAAATTAAAAACTCATGGCTAGCCTGTGCCTGCTGACTTGGGCTCAGGTTCTGGGGCTGTTTAATTCCAATTTGGACTTCCAGGCTGGGGCTGCAGCCTGAGCTCTGGGACCATCCCACCTCACAGGATCTTAGAGTCTGGGCTTCAACCCAAGCCCAGAAGTCTACACTGCAATTAAACAGCCCCTCAGCCCAAGCCCTGCGAGCCTGAGTCCGCTGTCAAGGCCAGCTTTTGGTGTCTAATTGCAGTGTAGACATACCCGTCGTCTCCCCAGGCGAAGAAGTGTGTGCAGTCTTGATTTGCAGCGTTTTTGGTAGGGTGTTTTTTTATTTTAAATATACAGGTTGCTGTGTGTGTGTGTGTGTGTGTGTGTGTGTGTTAGAGAAGGCAAAGTCAAAGAAATACACCTTGCACATGCAGTGGAAGATGGTGTGGTTTGTGATGGTCATTCATTCCTGGGCTGGTTCATTCCACAGTCTTAGAGCAGCCCCCATGTAAGTTGTCTCCGGCACAGAAGATCTTTACCCTTATTGTAGAGAATTCCATTGTGTCAGAAGAGCAAAGTTATTGACCACAGTCTACCTTTTCTGATACACTAAAGAAAAGTAACAAGTTTAGTAGAGGATATGGAAGGTGTAGTAAAACTAGGCATCCTTTCAATCCATTATCATAGTCCCTACATTTTCTGTCTCAAAGCCAGAGAAACAGTAAAATTTGAGCAGAGATGATTAATCTATTCAGAGCAGTCTCTACCTGTTAATAGCATTTAATTTTCCTATTATTTCATGGTGACGGGATGGGAGTGAACAGCCAGATCTACAGATCACTTTCTCTATACAATTGTTTTCAGTTAAGTATTCAATGGATGTGTTTTTTTGCATCAGCATTTCATTCTTTCAATAGGTATTTGTTTGAAGGCCCTGTCCTAATTGTAACTCAAAATGTATTTAAGACAAGTTAATTTTCTTTTTGCATTTTCATTTTGGGTATACTGGAAACTTTCTCTTTTGATTCCCTTTTTTCAGGTAAAGGGTTTCATAATTTTTGTGTTGCACAGAAAACTCAATTTCATAGGCCTCTTCCTTTAACTGTTTTCTTTGCGCTCTGATGTAACTTGTAGTATTATAAGGTTACTTAAAGGGGATGTGCCATCTGGAGTGAGAGACAGCTTTGAGTACAAGATCCTCCTGAGTATTGACAAGAGTATGCCCTGTGTGTGAAACGTCAAAATAGTTGTAATGAGTGACACTGGTTATTACACATGATTGCATTTATTAAATTTTCTCTCTTTCACCAAAAGAAGTTGGTCCAATAAAAGATATTACCTCACCCATCTTGTCTCTGCATTTATTAAGTAATGGAATTTTAAATTTTCATAGTACAGGCCACGTCCGGTATCTTCCATTTCAACAATAATTGAGGAACTTAATGCCCGGGAACACGTCTGATGTAAAACTCATAATATACTGGGTGGAATCTAACATTATAACAGTAAAACACCTTGGTGCACAGTAAAAACAAACATGTTTCTATGCTGTTTTAATAACTGAGCCCATGGTACTGGAGACTGGTGAACAGGTTTCTGTAGCAGCAGGTACTCTGTGTGTGGGCAGACCTCATGCTGCCTTGTAGAGTTTGCACAAAACATGAGGCAATTACTGAGCTCAGATGTTTGTGTGCAAGGTGCCTGGTTCTTAAAAGTAAATCACAGCCCTTTGAAACATTGCAAAGCTAAACACGTACCACTTTATTGCACTCTACAGGGCTCTTGAGTTTTCTGCAGTAATAAAGAGAAGTTGATGTAACATCTGCAATAAAACAATAGGAATGTTATTGAATTTCCTAGATCTTTCATGTAAATATTAATAGATCTAGTTTTGTCTCTTTTGCTGTTTCTGACATGGTTGGAGATTTGGGGGAGGGAAGAAGACTTGGAAAGGGAAAAATTTGGCAATCTGAAATAAGGTCAGGTCATTAAAACGTTCTGAGAGAGCTAGCTTTGTGGAGCTGCCTGTGTGAACTAGGAAACACCTGTCAATATCTTTCGTATAGTGCAGGCATGAATAGTGCTAATTAATTGTACACTGGCCACTGAACACCTAGGATGGTCCTCCCAGTAAAGTCCTTAAGATTTATCATCCAAGAATTATCACAAAACATCACTGCCAGTGCAGTCTTGTTTGTCTCACGTTCTTCGTAGGATGTTGTTTGCAGGGGCGGCTCCAGGCACAGCGCAGCAATTGTGTGCCTGCGGCGGGAAGCTGCTGGGGGCAGCCTACCGGTTGCTGTGAGGGCACAAGGCAGGCGGCTCTTGGCGGCATGCCTGCGGGAGATCTGCCGGCCCCCGGCTTCGGCGGCAATTCGGCGGCGGGGACACCGATGGAGCGGCACCAGCGGACCTCCCGCAAGCATGCTGCTGAATCCGCATGACCAGTGGACCGCCCACAGGCGCAGCACCGAAAGCCGCCTGCCTACCGTGCTAGGGGCGGCAAAAAACCTAGAGCCGCCCCTGGTTGTTTGAATCAATGTCTGGGAAATTATTGGTTTAAAAAAAAAATACAAATACACTAGGCAGAAATCCTGAAGTGGGGCAAGCTTGAAAATTCTATTTGTTTCTGAAAGCTCCCAGGCTGTCTCTGGTACACATTTCCTTGCCAGGTCTTATTGAGCCCCTTTCTAAATAATTTATCAGTTTGCCATTGCTTGAAGTATTTCTTCTGATTAAATTTAAGACTTTGCTTTATTGCTGTGTAGCTACATAAATTTGTGTGCTGCAGGAGGGGGAAAACACTTCAGCCGTTGTTTCATCTGCAAAATACTGCAGTTAAATAACATTTCAGTCATTTCATTGCAAGTCTCAAATGAAAGTTTTATTGGGGAAAAGGGAGTAGGAGATTACAAAGCTGCGGGCATACAGTGAAGAATTTCTCTCTCTGAAGAATTTTCCTAACAAATTAGAATTTTGGCAGTTCAGCTTGGAGATAATTTAGG